TCACTCACTCAAATTACATGTGCAGGTAGAATGGAGATAAAAATGGTTCAATGTACAGTTGTGATGAATTCAGCATTAATGATGAAAGTTGACTTTAAAACATGAAGCTGTGTGTTTGAATTCAGGGTTCAAACCTACAGTTAACTGAGCTCTACATTGAAAACATACTTCCAGATTTTCATACCTGAAAATGTCAATAAGCGTGACTCTGCAGATGTCAACACAATATTCTGTTTCAAAATGCCATACACTCATTGCCAAAGAAGAAGCACCTATAAAATATCCCAGCACGGCCAAGGAGACTGGCTGATTTGTGCATCTTTCAGGAATCTCAGGGGAAACAAGTCCTTTTTCTTCTTTCCTTCCAGAATAAGAATAATAACGCTAATAATTAGGTTTCAGGGTTTTACACGATGCAGAAATGTTAAATTAATTATTAGGGGTCCCCTGTGCCCTAGTTTGTCAGTCCAGGTAAAACCTTGTGTTTCAATAACAGCACTTCAGGGATTGATTTAGTCTGATGTCATTAAAAATTCCCAATTTGGAACTAAAATGTCCTAATTCATGTCACTATGTTTTAGTTTATATAACTAGTGACTAAGTTTATGGCTTTGAAGAAGTAACTTGTATTTGTAAGGGTGAATATTATCCTACCCTATTTTTTATCCCGGGGATGAAATTCTCTCATGTCAGGATGATTCTCACTTGTGAATTTGAACCCATACCAGTGTGGTACTAAGGTATGATACTACACTCTAGAGTAAAACTCCCCCCGGGATAATATTTAGGTAGGATATAATCCTTGCTTACATATTCACTTACAGCAAGACCTATAAATATATACAGATTTTAATACTTCATTTTTATATTACTGCGTTATATGCAATCTCAAAATAACTCCAAATGAAACAATTATGAACTTTAAAAAAATCCCAATTTGAACAAACTTTGAAAGTAACATTTTTTTCCAATTTGCCTGCCATGGGCATTTAGTTGAGAATCCCAGATAAATTCCTTTATTTCTACCCCCTCATCTGTTGCTGGGTCCCCATGCTACCCTGCCAACACAGTGGTACCTGTAGGGCAGCTGGGTCGTGTGTGCATCAGGGTTGATAAGGGCTGGCAGTGATTGTTCAGGGGTGTTCTAGGGCCCTGGTGTATTCCTGCTACAGTGCAGGCGACAGTATGCTGTGGCATGAAGGCTAAGACTCCTTGACCATCATGCATAATGTCAAACACAGGTTGTTTATCATTGACCAAGACACAGCTAGTCTTTGAGACACCCTGGCTACGGGTATGCATTGAAAATGTTGAACATGTAATTTGAAATATTTTGTAATGAACAGCATGAGATGTATGTACGCTTGATGATTTTGGGGGGGGAAGGTCGTGTCATACCAAAAGACGATAAAAGAGGGAGAGAGAGAATAATAACATTCACAGAAAGTATTAAAATGTCCAAGTGAAAGTGCTGAAATCACACGCTCAGTGATCGGTTTCCAAAACAAAACTATTTGGTGGCTCAGCAGTGTGACAACTATTTTCGTTGGTTGATATGTAGACTTGGTGGCAGTGTCTATCAACTTTCTATCCTGTGATGCTTAGCAGCTAAACGGATACGTGCTGCAACTCTAACATCAGTCAAAAGGTGTGTCTATCTAATCCTTCAAAAATAACAACATTGCATACATTGCTGTTTCTGAAACAACCTTTGATCTTGTAATTGACCTTGTGAATAATTAACATAACAATTAATGTTGGTAACTAACTTCATTAACTTAAGCATTAATATAAGCAAGGGATTTCAAAGTATGGTAGTATGGTTGTGTTGTGAAGTATTCTTACCATGTTAAATGTCAGGACTTTTGCAATCCCAAAACACACAAGAGTGATAACTTGTTTATCATGTAATGTCATTCTTAAATTCTATCATCGGACAAAGTATTCTCATTTCTCAGAAACAGTACAGAAACATTACATGATATCCTGGAATGTGGACATTAATATGTTACTTCACAAGGTCAGTGATTAGTCAGTCGTACAACAGGCAATATGGCTACAACTGAAACTTGTTTTCTTAGACAAAATGCTAACTACTTTATTGGCAACATGACAACTACCTTGTAGGCAATATGACAACTACCTTATAGGCAATATGACAACTACCTTGTAGGCAATATGACAACTACCTTGTAGGCAATATGACAACTACCTTATAGGCAATATGACAACTACCTTATAGGCAATATGACAACTACCTTATAGGCAATATGATAACTACCTTATAGGCAACATGACAACTACCTTATGGGAAACATGATTACTACCTTATACGCAACATGACAATTACCTTACAGGCAATATTGATAACTTATTCAGTTGTCTGCCTGCTAGAGTAGTCTATGAGTCATCACGTTTTTGAGCTGCTTTTGTTCATAGTAGGTGATACAGTCACTTGTCTTGTTGATAACGCTATGCTACATCTGTCAGATGTTAATTGTTGTCATGGTAATTGGCATGTTATTCTATCACATTGTAAGTTTTATGTTCCTCCAGCTGCAGGGAATGTTTGTTAGGCTATACTTTATGCTGAAAATATTTCTTTGTAAGCACTTCTCTCTCATACTCAGTAAACAATATAAAGTACTATTTAGTGAACATGTGTATTTACAAACTTAGAAACATCATCATGATCAGAGAGCTGACAATTGCAGACCAGTAATGCTAGAGTGTGTTTGTTTCCTGGCATTAAGCCCAACATGGATTTTTGCCTCATTCCATGAATAGATAGTGACCAATGGGAGACCTTGCATGTTCCATAACCTGGTGAGGTATAACTGCCTCTGTGGTCTGGTGGTAGAGCGTCTTCACCTTCAAAGTTCACACGACCAGTCTAGAACCAGACAAATCGGCCATTATGAACACTGTCAAAGTTCACACGACCACTCTAGAACCAGACAAATCGGCCATTGTGAACACTGTCAAAGTTCACACGACCACTCTAGAACCAGACAAATCGGCCATTGTGAACACTGTCAAAGTTCACACGACTACTCTAGAACCAGACAAATCGGCCATTGTGAACACTGTCAAAGTTCACACGACCGCTCTAGAACCAGACAAATCGGCCATTGTGAACACTGTCAAAGTTCACACGACCACTCTAGAACCAGACAAATCGGCCATTGTGAACACTGTCAACCTCAGACAAAGACTTGTTGATGACTTCAACTACTACTGATCACCATGTTTGATTGACACATAGTCTCTCCTATTAGAGGACAGTTTACATTGATGATGTTAGGTATCACCTAAGGAAGATTGAAACTGGTCTGGGACTTGTTCTGAAAGACCACTTTGACAACTGTTAATAGATTTTGACCAAATTTTGTGTTTAGATTTGTTTATAAAAGAAAGATCAAGTTTGATAACCAGACAAACAAATATTGACAAGGTCAAAGGGCTTATATAATTCACTGTACATGCCTATTAAATACATATTTTAAATATTTCACCGATGTAAATATAGTCAAGTCAGGTGAAGAGGTTTCTTCATCCCTCTAGGTGACAATTTTACTTACAACTGTCTTATGTTGATACTAAGCTTGAAAATAACAGCCATGTTTTGTGATACTGAAATGTTAACAGCAACATGCAATGTTTTTCATTGTTAGTTCTCAGAAATGGCGCATCTCAGAACTTGCTTCTTTCCATATCAAGGCCAGTCTTTTGGACTTTTTGTTTATGGGTTTTGATAGTGAAAAATGTGGTCATTAGGTTGGAAAAAAAAGAAATGCATTGTACAGGTATTTTTTATCCATTTAGGTTTTTTTGAAATGGTAAGTGATGAATAAAATTAAAAATCATCCCCTGGTTTGTTGTCACTAGAAATATAGCAAATCTAGAATGATTTGTAATAATAATTAATGATTGTTTAAAAAGTCTGTTTTAGTCATATAAAAATCTGTTTGATTATTATTATTATTGTCAAAGCGATTTTTACTGTCTGTGGTATGAAAACAACCTTGTCATTCATATATATTTTTTCTTTTTCTGAATTTTCGATTTTTAAGGTCGGCGGTTCCATTAACTAATTACAAAAAGTAGTGTCTAATAGAAATACTACTTCTATTTGAAATGTGTAAGTGATAAAATGTGTTTTTTAATTGTATCTGAACATGCTGAAGACATGGCCATCAGCTGCAGATGCCATCAATCTGGTGACAATAATCATGATAATAGCATTTATATGTAGACTGAACAAGGCATCATGAGAGTCAACAGACATTTTGGAAATCAATGTCAAAATAGTTTTCTTGCAGACATATAAGCAGCGAGAGATATGAAAAGAAATGGATTAGATTGTATACCATCAAAAAGTATGAGCTCTGTACAGTGAGGTCACTACGCCTTGAGTACCCATGACACCTGCACAGAGACAAAATTCCATCAGATGTTTGTAATGGTTGATATGACTTTCTATTGTAAGGCTAGGTTGGAATTATCTTCACATGAACAAGGTATAATTGACCAGTGTTGTAGCATTTGTATCAGTCATTAAAAACATTGAATAGTATGAAGTTGCATAAATTGCCTGTATGGAGTTTAGGCTGTGCAGGGATAGAAACTAACTGTTTTAGTCCACTTGTCCTTATAATGATAGCATATAGCAAAACCCTTAATAATGGCAAATTTCTAATAGTCCTTATGGTACCTTAACTATTGGGCAGTTTGGCAAGGACTATAGGACTAGTGCCAATTTCTGATGCTGCTGTGTCGGGAGGCAGGAAGCTATTCCTGCAGTATGGCTTGACTCTGGAGCAACTGTTTTCAATAACTAATAACATGCCGTGATCACTGTCAGCTCTAACTACAGGGAACGTACATTCCCCAACATGGGCAAGAGAGCTACTGTATTGCCATGAGCTTCTCAAATATATTTCAGTGTATGTGGTTTACTAGTAAAGAATTCTTATAGAGAACATGCATTATTCACTCACCCGTCTCCCAGCATTGATTGAAATTAACAAAGGACGATTCGACGATCTCCAAGGCATTTGGCGTTAATAGTGGAATTAGCCATCTCCAACAGGTGTGGCCGTTTCATACTCACCAGTATGAAATACACATCTGTCAATTAAAAGTCAACGAGCAAGTTGCCAATAACAAATCAATATCCACCCCCTGAGGCAGTACTGGCGTAAGTGACATCATTGCTGCAGCCTTGCAATAGACCAGTCTTCTAAGCCAAACTGTTGTGTGAAGTGTGATGTCCTTCGAATATCCTGGATAACACTGAAATTGATCTATGTTGCACATTTAGTCGGTTGGTCTGTGCAGTCTAACGATGCTGTCAGTGGACTAAGGGATAACGATTCGTGGCTTTCTGTAGTGAGATTAACACAAGACTAAGGATCAATACCTCACGAGACAAAGCTGTCGGTGTTGGAAGGAGGGTCAGTTGTTTGCGTCTCCCGCCGATGGTAGTCCACTGCACCCTGGAGATACAGGCCTGAATCTATGGGTCTTCCAAGCCCCCAAGCCAGTGGTGGCTGACACGATCCGCATAGTTAATATCGAAACTGAGTGAGAAGCACTTCTCTTTGAGTTGTGGAGATTTTAGTCAGTTCCTCAGCGATCACAGATGAGGAGGAAGATGGGAAACGTGTTGGATGTACAGTCATTGCCTGATGATGCTCTGGTCAAAAAGGTACTGCTCTTACTTATCATACTTTCATGGTGACTGATGTGAAGGTAACATGACTGGATACTTGGGGTGGTCGGTGTTGGTATTGAGAATACATTGGGCTGTTTACTGTTCTGATGTTACTTTATGATATTATTGAAATAATTGTAGTAAATTGTGGATGTCACTTTCCAGAAACTCTTGTACACAAAGAGCATTGTTGGGGAATGGATTGGAATGCAGATTATGGCCTGATGGGTCATGTACAGTGGTACTAGATGCTGCAGTCTCATGTTGAATAAGTAGTACTGAATATTTACATGTAGCTAGGCAGAGTCCTTGTCAAAACCCAAATGCTGGGGATATATCAATGAAAGCACTAGCAAGACCCCAGGAAATCAAGAGCCTTCTTTCATTCCCAACTCTCAAGCTGTACCAAAAGGAGTTGTGCAATAGCAATCCTTGACAAAACCCAGTGCAGCAAATTTTGTAGCACTTGCTATAGAAACTCATCAATACCACAATGCCTTGTTCTGCTTGTATATTCATTAGGTTGTCTGTGAGGTGAGGTCACCTGACATTTTCATGAGAACACAGGAGGTAATCCAAAGAGCCTTACATGAATGTATCTCCACTGCTTCATTGATGTCTTAATACAGTTGAACTTGAAATTGCCATTAGAACATGTGTGAAGTTTAGTTTTGAAAAAAACTACACTGAACTTGATCAGGGACCTAATGCCATTTAGGACCCTCTTCATGGTCTAGTAGATTGTGCGGAAGGTTGGTGGTTCAGTCCCCAGCCGCTTCATACCAGCATACATTGAAAGATGGTACTTGTTTTTACCCTGCCTGTCACTCTGCATTAAGGAGATAAATTAAGGTCTTGTTGGCTTAGAGTCAGTATGCAATGAAGTATCCATAAAATGGGGCATGGTATCTCTGTGGGCGAGCACTATAAAATCAGCATTAGGGGTGACCTTACAAGTACACACACACACAAAATGTCAGTATTCTGAGACCTGACTAGCACTGAATATTTTACACACACAGAATGTCATTATTCTGAGATCTGACTAGCACTGACTGTTTACACACACATAGCCTGCCTTCATATTTTCTTGTTTTGGTAGCCATTGTTTTTATTTATCCAACCTATACTGGCAAAAAAAGAAGGGGGCACAATAGTCATCATTGTTTTAAAGTACAAGTTCCCAGAAAGATCCGGGTCAGATCTTCTTCAACCCATGCTTGTCGTTAGAGGCGACTAACAGGATTGGACGGTCAGGATCAGTGACTTCATTCATGCATGTCATATCTCTATTACCTAGTTCGATGCTCATCAATGTAAATCACTGGATTGTCTAGTCCAGAATCAATTATTTACAGATCACTGTCATGTAGCTGTAATATTGCTGAGTGCGAATTCTTTTTTAAATATTTAAAAAAATTAAAGAACAAGTCACACATTGTATTTAGTATTCATGCCTCATGAGGATGTCTGAAAGTGAAGAGCTGGTACAAGCGGGGATTCCATTTTAGAATATTGGTCTCAACTAAATAGGTTGGGTGATCAGGCTCAATGACTTGGTTGGTTACATGTCATCGCATCTCAATTGTTTTGATCGATGCTCATGATGTCAACCACTGGATTGTGTGGGCCAGACTCAATTATTAACCCAGCACTGTCATGAAGCTGAACTATTGCTCAGTGAAAGGTTAGATATACATTTATGATATGGTAACTACAACAGTATAAGCATGATGATATAACACGTGTTGGTCCCATTTTGAGATTATAAGATAAGATACTCTAGACTGACGTGGAGATGATAGTGTCTTAGTGATTACTGTGGGGCAGTTTTTGTGTAAATGAATTGTTCATAATCATATTTTTATATGATTTTATAAAAGCCTAGATCTAATATAGCAAGCATTGCTTATCTTTTCCAGCTGTATTCATGAAGCGAACTGAATGTATTTTTAGTAGTCTCTGAGAATACTGTAATTGTTGAGTAGTTTGGAATGAATTATTACTGTTCAATATTCATGTAGATACCTCATTTGTCCTTGTCGCCTTTGTACCATGACAGGGCAATGTTTGATGGGAAGACCAACTGTCATCTCTGGATGTAGCAGAGAGCTTCAGGCCTTAAACATCACTTTGTTCACAGCAACCATAGTGGCTAAATTAGGGGATTAGGTTTACCAGCTTAATCATTGGTTTTCTGTATACCTGACTCCACTGTATCTAAAGTCAATTGTCTCGTTATCAGAATGTCAATATAAGTACAATCCATTGAGACTATTCTTGTGTCCATTTGGGGTTTGGCAATCATATGGCTATAATTAAAAACAAGGTTGGACTGCTCACACACTCAAGGGAAACAATACACGTCGAGATTCGTATTTCCAATTGGCAAGATTCACTAGAGAGCAAATTTTTGTAGTGTTTCATCTTACTTAATGTTTACCTAAATTTTGCAATATTGTCTTTGATAGGAATCTGTTTTTTTAACTAGTTTGATAAGTATATTTAGAGAAACATTCCTTACTGTATTTTGTACTATTTGGCTCTTGTTATTATTAGCACTTATAAAAAATCAGTGATATATGCTACTCAAAAGAAGTTAAAGAACACTTTCATATTACTAAAGTTAATTTGTCATGGCACCTTATTATTTTGTATTACTATGGGTATAGTTCATCTGCCTTTGCATGGCAGATGAACTACAGTAATATGAAAGAATCAGGTGTTCTTTATCTTCTTTTGAGTAGTATACTTTGTAGAAGTATGTTACTTTCAGAATGTTGCTCTCATTGATTCAGATATTATGCAGTGACAAAGACTGTTGACAAGGCTAGCACTACCTGTGGAGACCGGGGTTAGGTTGCTAGCACTCAGCTGCTTGTTGTAAGATATAACAAAATAAGATGGGGTGATCAGGCTCATTGAATTGGCTGATTGTGATTGTATAAGGCAACATGATAGGGCTGGAATGGTGAAGGCTGTAACAGAAAACGAAATATCACTAGCACACATTTGTATAGGAAACTGTCTAGAAACTGACCCTTCGTTGCCTGTTTGATGGCTGCAGATATGTCTTGTTTGTGAGTTCATAAAGCAACATTTTCAGCTGATAATTTGGTTTGTAGTTTGGCCAGCAACAGCTGTACCTAGTGATGCCAACTATTTTGCGTAATACTTACGATTTTGAACCTAAAATAACTAGTGATGGGTATCATGGGTATTGGCCTGAAGTTTGTTTTGCAATTTATTGCAATAGTGCTTCCTGTATTGCGATATGTACCACAATATATTGCATGCGTTAGTTCATCTGTAATTTGTTATGAACCTGAATTAAAACACTTCCCCCGCATGTTTTTGACTACTTCGTATTATGTGTGATGTTGCTATGGTCACAAAGCCTTATATACAGGAAACTGTCACAAATAGTTTCACTATTTCGCCACAGGAAAAAGTTGCTAACTTCTTAATTATTATCCCCCGCCCAACAAAGTTGGCGGGGCATATAGAAACAGGCTCCGTCCGTCCGTCCGTCCGTCATGTTTCGTTTCCGGACCATAACTCATAAACCGTTCAATATTTTTTCATGAAACTTTGCAAGTTTGTCAAGTACATGCTGAACTGGTGCCTTTTGCTATTTAGAAATTTTAGAAATTTTTATTTTTTACGTTTCCATGGCAACAAGATGGACTTATGTTCTGTGAGGGTAGGGTTCGTTTCCGTAGCATAACTCATAAACCGTTCAATAATTTTTCATGAAACTTTGCAGCTTTGTCAGGTACATGCTGAACTGGTGCCTTTTGCTATTTAGAAATTTGAGAAATTTTTATTTTTTACGTTTCCATGGCAACAAGATAGACTTAGGTTCCAAAATCTTCTTTTTTTTTACAATTTCCATGACAAGTTGCACCTCGGTTAAAAAAGGTTAGGGTTTGTTTAGATTTAATTATGTCATAAATTCTGCAACAGGGGTGGGGGATATAGCCACGTTAGTGGGAAACTCTTGTTTCCATTTGAGTTGTAACTCGTGTAAATTCTTCCACCAAGATGATATGCATGATTTTGAAAAATGCAATATACTGTTATTTTCCAAACCTATAGTAGTTCATATTCATTGGTATTTCATTTAAGAATTGACCTTCACTTTGTGTGAGTTCATTGGAGTATGAACCTTCATAGAGTGAGGGCCAAACTGTATGAACGTCGGAGCTTGCGACGACGTTCATACAATGTTTGGCCCTCACTCTATGAAGTTCATACTCCAATGAACTCACACAAAGTGAAAGTCAATTCTTATAATTTTTTATCACAATTTCTTACCTCAAAGGATGTAGGCCAAGTTCTAAACAAAATTTTATTATTTAGTATGTTAGACTTCATGTTTACACTGACAGCCAAACAACAACCAGCTATATCGCGGAATAAAATAGTTCCCCAAAAAGAGAGGTGACATGAGCGTATGGGTGCAGAACTTGCTCTTCAGAAACATCTTACGCAACACATGTGTTCATATAATATCCCCATTAGATGAGAAAGGTCTGTAATGAACTACCTCAGTAAGTCAGTCACAACGACAGCGCATCGTAAGACATTTACATCAAGTACAAGACGTCAAAATGGCCAACACGATAAATGTGACAGGAGGATTTCCGAAGTTGTTAATGAACCTGTGGCGGTTACATGTGTTAGTCATCATTGATCAACTGACCGATTATTGAAAGGTGATTAAAGATGCGTTAAACAGACACCAACGTAAATTCGTAGATTGCTGGAGACAATCACTGTCAGCCTAGACACAGATCGAGTCGATACTGACGATAGTTTGGATGTTCATTTTTTCGTTTGTTCATTAGGATACGCTGTAGCGAGGAAATTCGTGAACAATCATGCAGTCAAGCTCTCCTACGTTTCTCAATGTATATACTGAAATGCTGAGACCAAGATTAAAGGTTCTAAATGATCAGAAATAATGTTTATGTTTGTTTTAGTGCTAGGGA